TTAGTCACGTATCCAATTATACAATATCAGTTGCAGAAAAATTTTAAATAACACAGCAATATGCACTGCATAAAATCTTTAGCTACTAACTTAAAAGTTTAGTTTCAAAATAAATATCAGTTATTATCTATATTCCATCTCTGGATTCTTTAAAAGTATTGTCTAAAATAGGAACTAAGATCATATGTGAGAATTTTTTTCTGACTTTTCCTGAACTAGCCACAGAAACATCCAGACTCTCCCTTTCTCTCAGATTTTGATACTTGTCCTCCAGTTTTTAGTATCACTAGTCCTCAGAATATAATCCCAACTTGATAATTGAGTCCCAGAATACACGCCAGCTTCACTGTGTAATATCCTATATATAGACTGTGATCAAAACCAACTCTACTTTAGTTCTCCAGATTTACCATGTCCTTGCATGCCTTTATGCCACTGACATATTGTTCACTGTCCAACAGGCCCTCTTTCCCTCATCAGATGGCAAACACTTATTCTTTAAGTCTGAACTATCTCCATGGCAATTGACAAAACTCAGTGCTTTCCTTACTGTTTTCCCCAATGGGATGTTGTGCATGCCTCTATTTTTTTTTTGCATCAGTTTGTGACTTTAATTATTGTGTTTCTATATCTCACTTGTATCCTTGGGTTTTAGCAAGCATACTTTTCGGCATGGAGTGAAGGCTTAATTCATGTTTGTGTAATGAGTTTACAACATTAGCTTTCATTTTTCCTGTGACTAATGTGTCCCAGGCACAATGGTAAGTGCTTCACAAGCTTCTCTTGTAAGCCTTACATTGTTTAACGAGCAATGGTTATCCACATTTTAAATATCAGAAAATTAAACCTGAGGGCATCAATTTGCCAAGAGAATATTGGTTGCAATTTAAACACCATTTTCCTCTCAGAAGACTGTAAATGACACATACCTTAGTGCTCCTTGCAAGGCTCAGGTTGTATTGATCACTAATAGCAATTTCTCTTTGATGATCTCTTCCAGCACCACCTTCAGAGCTGGAAAAGGGAGAAGGCCAGAGAGATAGTACACTTACTCTGCACAGGGTAAACTCAGATTTAATCCCCTGTATCTCATCTGGTCCTCTGAACCTGCCAGGAATGATTCCCCAGAGCACAAAACCAGGAGTGAGCCTTAAGCATTGCTGGTTGCGGCCCAAAAAAACAAAACAAAAAACAAAAACTGAGGGAAGACGGGCATTCATTTAATCATTAGAGCATTGCATAATCCAGTTCTCGTGCACATGTGCATGTGTACATGCATAAATAGCGAATGACAAAGTACAAATATGTATGTTGGAATCTGATAACTGGAATGCTAAATCTACAAATTTTACCCCAAAAAGCCCATAAAAATATTTACCACATCAATGAAAAGTCAACAATTAGACAAAGAAGCCTGATTTAATGGAAACCTTACAGAATTTCCCAAATCGCACATGATTTTTAATGGATTACAGCCACTCTTCTGCATTTCTATTTTATTTCCTGGACAAGAGGAAAATATATTATTTATGCAAAGGGTAGTTAGGATTTCCAACCACTAACACATGGCCTGTAAAAAATAATAATCCCATTTTTCTATTGTGCAATAGCTCTCTGTTGGGCAACAACAGTCTACAATGTGCTAGTTTCCTGTTACTTTACTAGGGCCTCCCTTTTCACTCACCGCCCAGACTAAATAGTTATTCCTTGGATAATAAAACTATAATACTAAATTTCAATCTACTTCCAAAAATGTTCCTGCCTGTCTTTATAAATAATCGTATCAGTTTGCTAATAAGCAGATATGCACTGCATGTTGAGTATGTTGTCACAAGTGGATAAAAAACACATAAATCTTGCTGTGACCAGAAAGAAACAATATATTTCTTATGTGTCCAAAACATTATGGTTGGGATAACAGCTGTAAGATGTTGGATCATCATCAAGAGAACAATGTCAAACACTGAACTTTTGGATGATTTCCATAAAAATAATATTTTGTTTGGGGTCAGTAATTTTCATAGAACTTTGGAAGGATTTTCACTGACAAGTTTTTAGAGCTGAACTTGAACACCTCTAAAATGTGCCCCCAAATGGAAATGTTATGCAATCTAGCCTTTGTAATAATGTCCTTCTGAAAAACCAAGCACATCTCATAAAAGCCATCACTTTTCTTGCTCACATTGTGCAGCTTGACAAAAAAAATGTATTATGCTACATGTTTAGAGAGTAAATTTATTCAGAAATTTTCTGTTTAGTTACCAAGTTTAATGCAACATTTCAAATATGCAGTAATTAAATCTAGCATTAGTTGGGGGCAGGGGCACCTAGATTCCTTCTGTAGAAATCTTATCAACGCAGCAAATATTCTTTGAAGTAAAACAAGGCCCCACTTCAAAGTCAAGGGCCTCCATGGAATTGTGAACCAACTTACAAAAAAGAGTCTTGAGCATAGCGGTCAGTTTTCATATTTTGTATTCATCTCTAGATATCCAAAACAATTTTACTGATATTTGTTTTACAGCAGTCTGGATTTTTATTTTTATTAACCGAAATTTTAGACTCTAGAATTTGGAAATGTGTTATGTGGAGTCTGACAATACAGGTTTTCATAAGAGGCTAGAAGATTTTGTAAATATACTCTCAGACAAAGGTAGTTGTGGCACAAAATCATTAATCTAAAGAGACTGTGTTGGCTGAATATACATTTTTAGTATTAAGAGTATTTCATGCTAGGATTCTACAACCAGAGCTCAAGTAAAAAAGAGCCAAACCACTGAATTCAATATTCACAGCCTATTTCAGGACATGAAAATATTTTGGTTCTCTCATACAAAAAGTTTTTCCAACATACTTTTGTCCAAAGTGACTTTTTATTGATAAGGACTTATTTCAAACATTACATGTTTCATTATGTAGGAATGATCATAACCAGAGTTTGTTCCACCTTAAGAAATAAGGGATTAAATGTTCATTTTCTATGATATTCATTTAAATCAGTAGTTCTTCACTGATAGTTCTATTAATGGGTATTAATAGAACCATGTAATCAAAGAGTGTTTTACACTATTGAGTTTATAAGAGAAGTGTTTCCATGATAAAACTGGAGATATATCTCAAAGAGCTGAAGAATATGACTTGCATGTGCAATGTCACAAGTTCAATCCTAAGCACCACATAGCCCCAAGCACCACCAGACCCGGCCCTGGTGGCCCCACATACCTGCAGGCCAGGCAGCACCACTGTGCCAGGCCGAAGCACTGAAATTTCAGGTCCACATATCTAGAGTATCACCGGAAGTGGCCCCGAGACCACTACGCACTGCTAGGGAGAACTCCTACCAATATTTGTGTAAAAATAAATCATCCAGTTAATTTAATATTTAAGAATAAATGAAAGCAGGGTCAGAGCAATAGTTCAGTATGCAGCCAAACCAGGTTCAACTCTCGGCACCCCATATGGTCTCCCAAGACCACCAGGAGTGATTCCTCCTGAGTACAAATCCAGGAGTAAATCTTGAGCACTACCAGTGTGGCCTCTAAATAAATAAATAAATAAATAAATAAATAAATAAATAAAATGCTTCCAATATGGTACTAGTTCATGCATTTTGATCAAATGGCTTTCTCCCTCAAAAAATCTTAGCAGTTCTCCAATGCCAACAGAATGAAATTCAGTTTTGAGGGAACAGAGGGGCAACAGTTAGCAGTGCTCAGGGGTTACTACTCGCTCCGCACTCAGGAATTACTGCACTGGTGGTGTTTGGGAAACCATATAGGATGCCAGGGATAGAATCTGGGTTGGCCTAGTGCGAACGCAAGTACCCAACTGATGTGCTAATTCTCAGGCCCCAGAATGAAATTCAATTCTTTCTCCAACTGTAGTCTGCAGTCTACCTTGCAATAGAAATTCCACATAAGAAACTTTGAAGTCAGGGTGGGGGGGATATTATCCATGGTGGTCGAAAATGGGCACTGGTGGAGGGATGGGTATCTGATCATTGTATAATCAAACCCAAGCACAAAAAATTGTAAATCTACAACTGTACCTCATGGTGTTTCACTAATAAAAAAAAAAAATTAAAAAAAAAAGGAGAAAGAAAAAAAAAACTTTGAAGTCCTGTTGATTTGTATTTAAATATTGAGTAGTGTGAATCTGAATTAAAATCTATACTTCAAATCTGGTGATCCTCCACTTCCACTTACATTACCCATCACTAATATCCTCCGCATCCTTCCTGCTAACCCCACCCTCCAGCCTGCCTCTATAGGAGGAAATTCTCTCTCTCTCTCTCTCTCTCTCTCTCTCTCTCTCTCTCTCTCTCTCTCTCTCTCTCTCTCTCTCCCCCCCTGATTGGTTGAATATCTCTGGGAGTTCTCCATGCCACATCTGCACCCCACCCCCACGTCCCGCCCCCAGCCTTCCTGAACACTGTTTGGGAAGCCCAAAGTGGGGAAAAAAGCAAATTTGAAAAGAAAATAATCCCTCAAGTAGGTATAATATAACATATACACATTAATAAATTTCTCATATGTTAAAACCCTGATTCATAATTTTGCCAAATTATCAACAGGTTACAAGTATTTACCAATATTTTAACAATAGAACCCTCTAGAATTCAAAACTATTTATTATATATTAATTTCCCCATTTTTGTTTAATTTAGTATATGTTTTATTTAAAAATTTACAAATAGTAAAATATTATTATTGCATACATGCAAAGCTACTTCATCATATCCACCACCAGAATACCAGGATCTCTCTATCACCATCCTAATGTCCCTCTAATGGTCAACCCTGAGAGCCATATGTGTTTCATAATAGCATTGCTTAAAATATAGTCCAGACATAGCAAAAATAAAGAGTTTAAAAAGTAGATATTTGGCATCTGTGGGTATGGAATTCAACTAAAGAAATTTATTCTTTTTTTTTAAATTTAGAATGACCAGTTTTAGAGTAATTGAATATATATTTAAAAGGTGTATTCTTTCATTACAGGAAAGAAAGGAAGGGAGAGGAAAAGGAAAAAACTTATGAAAGAAGACAGTAAGGACCCAATTCCTGATAACAAAGGTCTGGAACCCAACAGAGAAACTCCAGAACAACGAGAAAACAAAGACAAACAGCAGCAGAAGAAGCGAAAGGGCCAAGATAAACAACAGAAATCGGTATCAATCAGCACTGTACACTAGAGGGTCCGTGAGATTGTTCTAGACTCACGATGCTGCTATCTCAACCAGATGCCCAGGACAGGTGCTCTAGTCATTAGGACCAGAAAAGGACAACGTGTCAGTTACTGCTCAGTCTAAACAACATTCCAAATAGTTGCTATATTCTTCATAAAAGCATAGTTAACAACAAAGAGCCCAAAGTTCAAAGAAGGGATGCTTTTGAATTATTATTGAGCTTCTGTGCATTTTAAAGAGACAAGAGATTTTGTACATAATTATCAGTAGGCTATAAAATATAACAACATAATGATGACATCTGGATAAGGAGCATCTTTTCCCTATTAGAATATTTTTTTCCAAGCTATTGTTTTAAGAAGCAAAAGATAGTTCTGCAAATTCAAAGATTCAGTATCCCTTCAAAACAAATAGGAGATCAGGGGAAAGACACATCATTCAAATGACAGTGTTGTTTTGTCCAGGAGATCTAGAAAATGCTCAGATGTTAGGGGCTGGCACTTGGAATCATAGAAACTATCGTCACCGAAACAACTGTTGTAAGATCGGTTCTATTGCCCACATCATGTCCTCTGCAAGAACATGGGAGTGCACACCAGAGTAAAATATGCTTATGGGATTGGAAAAGAAAGGAAAATATGGAAGAAACCATAGAGTTGGAGAGGACTTACGTGTTTTACAAAACTGTGAAGGGTTGTGAGTACCTGGAGCAGCTCTCCAATCTGTTGTCAGCGTTGTGTGGTTCAGCCTCTGCTACCCCCCGGGTTATATGAATCTGTAAACATGTACCTGTTTCTTATTTCCAGAATCAAAAATCATACTTCTTAGAAGAAAATTCGATTTTTTTGTGTAGAAAACAAAAACAAGAGCAAGGAGAAAGTGACATGTTTGCAAAGTCATGTATTTCCTCTCTCGAGGAGGGAAATGCAATTTCATTATGTGCTCAAAGCCCACCTGGAACTAAAAGGGATACTACTTTCTATCAAGGTGTATCTAGTAGCGGGGAAAGCCACCACAATAAATATATTTGTTGATAGTTTTTAAAGTTTTGCTCATTTTTTTTCATTGTTTTATTGAAAAAAAATGCAACTCATGAATTAGGGAAGAAGATTCTGCATCGTGCCATTCAGAGCATTTATTTCTCAGCATTTTTGTTTGTTTTTCAATCGAACCATGGAAATGTCCTTGTAGAGTATTAGGAGGTATTTATTCAGTGTTTTTCTTGTTATATGATTAATCAAAAATATTCTATTTATGGTTGCATGGGCCTCCCTAAATTATTTCACTGTTCTTTATGGCTTAGAAATTAACATATTTTCTTGTATGTCACTTCCTCTCGCTCCTTGAACATTTGGCCTTTTCTTCTTCATATTTTCTCCATCTGTAGATCTCTTTTGGGGATTGAAGTCACCTAGCTGAAGGCCTCGCCCGTGTTCGACAGAGGACACAGCCCAGGGCAGGACGAGGCACCTCCGTGTGAGCAGCACAGACTCTCCTGACCCACCCTAACCTGTCATAATGGGAGGACGTTCGGCTGCTCTGTTCATGCTTCTAGACCTTTGCAGATCACTGTTTTCTCAAGAATTTACAGTGAGCCTGGAACCCCATCTTTGGGCACTCTTCCTTCTCCAACTGTACAGCTCACGTAGACTGCTTGGCTTAAGCAGTTTCCCTGTTCTCTTTTCCTCTTCCCGGATATAAAAATTTTGAATGATGTATTCCTGTTCTTCCTGTTCTTACTTTGGTGTTTCTTCTCCTTGTCTGCATGGGATAAGTGTTTTTATTTTAATTTAAAATGTTTAGGTCACATATGTGTTCCCAATAGCTAAAATTAATTCAGTCTCTAAGCTACAGTTTGTCACCAAGGAGAATCAAACCTTTTCCTATAGAAATATGTCACGTGGAGGCACATTCCCATGTACTATAATTTTTGGTTTTGAACACCGTACTCATTCTCAGTCTTACCCAGTGAATTATCAATGGCCAGATTATTTTTTCCTATATTCCTATGCTTATCACTGTGTTCATTCTTTCAATAAGCAATTGCTGGGACCATCTAAGCCTGTCTACACAGTTCTGGAAAAGGGTGATGCAACAATGTGGCATATGACTGTTGTGTCTTCCCATAGGTTTGGGCTTTTTATAGTGAGGTTCCCCCATACACTAAAGACAATCCAAATCCTTCATGCAGCACTGAAATAAAAGAAACCTTGAAACAATGAAAAAAATATAAACAACCATTATTATTAAGGTGAAAAATAAGTGAAAAAACAAAGATGGCATCATTGTTAATTATCAATCAAGGTCTTTATTTGGGGAGGGGCTTCACACACGGCAGTGCTTAGGGGTTACTCCTGGCTCTACACTCAAGAATTACTCCTGGTGGTGCTCAGGGGACCATATGAGATGCTGGAAATTGAACCCGGGTCAGCCACATGCAAGGCAAATGCCCCTACCCGCTGAGCTATCACTTCAGCCCCTAAAAACAGGGTTTTAAAATTGTCTGAAAAGTATTTATTCCAAAAAGCATAAGGCAATTAAAAAGTCATTTAAGATAGTAAATATGTCTTATTTATTGAACCCAGGTTGGCCATATGCAAGGCAGACGCCCTACCTGCTGTACTGTCTCTCCAGCCCCAATTGACGTCTATTAGATCTATTAACACATGAAATCACTATGATCTTCAAACTAATTCTTTTAAATTCTAAGCAGAAAAGTATCAACAAATGATAACTTTCCTGCACTTGTCATAGAAAGCATTAAACTTCATCAATTCTACCTTCTTTGTCAATTCTTCAAGTTCTGGTACACTATTGGTAACAATAGATGTCTGCTAAGTTTTTGATTAAAAAAGTAATTCAGAGAGTGCACAGCTAAAATATGGCTCTTCCTGATCCATATTCCATCTTTGACCTCCAAATTCTACTTTATAACTCAGGGGAGACACCTGCCACCTGTTCTATTGGAGATTAGCTTCTAGTTATTACACACAGATGAATAGAAAATCATCTAACTGCTCTCCATTCCTGTTCCTTATGTGCAACATGCAAGAAGTGGCTGGGGTGATCACTATGCTCGCAGGCACAAAGTATGCAACCCTTTTTTGAGCTTAGGTTGATGACCTTAATAAGTCCTCAGGAGTGACAGTGTCCTTTGCCTTCTCCATCCCTGCTTTTCTCCGAAGTAGAAATGTGTATATACAAAAACTCTTAGCCGATACAAAGTGAACTCTCCTGCTATGTCTAATGTTACTGATTTAAAATTTTTTCATGTTACTGTTTATTAAAACAATGAAATGAAGGGTCAGGCATGTGACTTAGTGGCAGTGCATGGTTTCAATCCCCAGCACCATATGATCCTTATAGAACTAAGGAGCAACCACCAAGTACTGAGCTGGGTATGGCTCAAAAGCCAATTTTTTTTTAAAAGAGAGAGAGAGAGAGAGAGAGAGAGAACTGGACATATAAACTGGTAATTGGATCAAGGCTTTCCCCAAAGCAATCAAAAATATTCTTTTTCACTTATCTAATCATTTTTATTATTCTAGATGTATGAGGAAAATTTTTTAAAAAAGACATGACGCAGCTTATGAGTAGCCACACACCATTTGAGTAGCTTTTATTGTTTGATTATATCTTCTCTAAATTGTTTTAAAATGAAGAACTCAAGGGCCAGGGAGATGGCGCAAAGGGCTAGAGGGTGGAGGGTCAGGTTAAATCTCCGGCCACCATATGATCCCCCAACACTGCTGGTTATGGCCACAAAAGAAAATACAAAAAGAGGAAGTGCTCAAAATCGCACAACCAACAACCAAAGAGACCACTGGTCACTCCCAGTTCTGAATGACTCCAAAATTCACAATCTCTTCCTACTTCATATCTCTTGAGAACACAGGTATCCATTCCAAGAAAGTTCAAAATACACATTTTCCCACATCTGCACTAGTAACTTAAAAAGTTGTATTGGATTACACTTGGCAGTGCCCAGAGTTTACTCCTGGCTCTACACTCAAAAATCACTCCTGGCTGGACTCTGGGGACCATATAGGGTGGCAGGGATGGAACCCAGGTCAGCCTTTTGATAGAAAATTGCCCTACTCTTTTCAGTTCTGAATTAATATATTACAAAGAAAAAGTCAAATTACATAGTCTTTAAACTATGTAAGAGGCCTCACCTTGAGAAAAGTAAAATTTCAGAGATCTCAACCCAGCTGAAGCTCAACATGGTAATGAAACTCAATTTGGAGCTGAATTCAAATGTGATCACATGTATGATTGTGTTTATGTGTGTGTGTGTGAGAGAGAAAGACATACATACATACACAGAGAGAGAGAGAGAGAGAGAGAGAGAGAGAGAGAGCACTCTCCAGCCAGAGGACCTATAGAATAGCTGGTGAAGAAGTGAGAAGAGGTAAGTGTGTTGAGAAAGAAAAGGAGAAATAAGAATTGTGTTCTCACTTTGGTACATTTACACAATGGAGTACTATGTAGCTGTTAGAAAAGATGAAGTTATGAAATTTACATACAAGTGGTACTACATGGAAAGTATCATGTTAAGCGAAATGAGTCAGAAAGAGCGGGATAGACACAGAAAGATTGCATTCATCTGGGGAACATAAAGCAACAAAACGGGAGACTAACACCCAGGAATGGCTGAGATTAGTACCAGGAATTTTGCTCCATGACTTGAAGGCCAGCCACATGTGCTAGGTGAAAAGGAAGCTCAGATAGAGAAGAGAGCACCAAATAAAGGGTGTTGTGAAGACCCTCCCAGGGTGGGAGAGACACGCTAAAAGTAGTCTATAGACCAAACATGATTGCCACTCAATGCCTCTCTTGCAAAACACAGTACCCAAAAGAAGAGAGAGAGAACAAGGGGGAATGCCCTGCCACAGCGGCAGGGTGGGACGGGAGGGATAGGGGGTGGGAGGGATGCTGGGACCCGTGATGGGGGAGGATGGGCACTGGTGGAGGGATGGGTACTTGATCATTGTATGACTGAAACCCAAGCACAAAAATTTATAAGTCTATAACTGTAAAATAAAAATAAAAATAAAATAAAATAAAATAAAAAGAATTGTGTTCTCGGGGAAAAAGAGTAAAGCAGGTATGTTCTTTAAAAAAAAGTCCTAGACTTAGACTGTTATATCCTCATAGAACTATGAAATGACTCAAGTCAGTGTTTTTCAGTATAAGCCAGATGTTTTTTAACATTGTTAATTTTTCTTTGAGATCTTATTCAAAATTACAATGATAGAGGAAAAACAACAGTGGTTTTTGTTACTGTTGAAACAGCTTAAAATGATTTGAGAGTATGCTGCTCTTTCTCATGCTACTTAACATATTCAATAACAATATTTTTATTTTCACACACCTTTTTTGCCCCTCCTATCTCAAAAATAATTTAAAAGCAAATATTCTTTAAATAAATATGTTCTTCTTCAAAAAATTATGAGGAAGGACAGAAGAAGGTGAGAGAAAAGGGGAAGGAGAGAAAAAAACTAGTTACTATTTTCATTTATAGTGATGTGTCAGATAAACTTGTAACCTCAACCAATAGTAATATTTCATATCTATAAAATTGACATGATATGTCAGAAACTTGATTATATCAATATACTAAACTGCTAAGTATTTTTACACTTCTGTATTTGCAATTGAGCATGAAAAATATTTTCCAAATAATGAGACTAACCGAAACATTGAGTCATCTATGGAGATTAAGTATTTTTAAAATAGAGAGTTGACAAGTAGTTATTAAAAGAGTTTTTTAAAAAAATCAACAATTCATTCATTCATTCATCATCCTGTTATTCGTCGATTGCCTCAAGCAGGCCCCAGTAACATCTCTTTCATCCTAGCCCTGAGATTATATTCAAGGCTCTTTAGGAGAATGAGACCCATCATTGTTACTGGTATTTGGCATATTTGGTATGCCACGGGGAGTTTGCCAGACTCTGCCGTGTGGGCAGGCTACATTCGGTAGCCTGCAAGTTTGTCCAAAGTAGGAATGAGATCATAAGATGTCATAAAAAGATGTCCTGATAAGATGTCGCATTCGCGGCCGCAAATGCGGCTGCGCGGTTCCGAGAGCTGGATTTTATAGTCTCTGAGTCTTGGCCGCTGATGGGATTACACGGCGCCAGGGGGC